CAAAGGTTGTGAGGATATGATTAAAAAATATACAATGTCCATGTACATCAGTGTTCATGTGTTCCCAATTCACTAGCTACATTGATTTGGTTTAGTTTTTCGTTTGCAGGACGCTATGGTTAAGGGCATAAGGCAAAGTTTAGCAGGCCACATCCATTAAACAGTTCATGTCGCTTAGATATACATTTAATTTTTTTTTAAAAAAAAGAGAATTCTCCAATTACAGGAAATTTCAATGAACACGTGTCTATAAAGTTTCATCTTGATTATTCAATTTGTTTTTTGAAAATAGAAGATTTTCTGCTTTGGATTTATTTTTTAAATCATGCCTATAGAGTAGTGTTAACATAAAGCTTAAAGTAGTCCTGTAATATAGAGAAGGCTTTAGTTAGGCATGGGTTAGGTATAGGGTTGGCTAAGACACCGGCCTAGAAATGCTGGCCTTGAAATGAAATAGGTTAGTTGTCTGATTTTTACTCTGAATTATTTTCGGTTCTAAAGAAATAGTTTTCAAATGGAAGCCTTATGAAAAATAAGTAAATCTTATACTTAAAAAAACTTTAATATTGGGTGATCCTTGGTTAACTGATTCCCAAGACCCAAGGGTGCAATCGGGGTGTCCGTCAGGTTTGGAGGAAAGTAAGGAGGTCTGTTGCAAGTTAATGGTAAGGCTTGGGTGGAGTGGACCAAGATATGGAATTATTTTGCCCCCCCCCCCCCCCCCCCCCCCCAAGGTGAAGACTTTATTTAAGTAGTTGTGTACCGGGAATCTTCCAAGTTCTGATCAGTTGAAAGTTCATTTTCCGGATCATTGTATGCTATGTCAGGATGAAATGGAATCAATTCCCCATCTGTTTATTTCATGCCCACTGGCCGTGGGGGTTTGGGAAAAGAAAGGGTGGACTGCTGCAAATGGGTTAACTTGGGGTTAGTGGGGTTGCTGGAGTATCTGGCAAGCTCAAAATAGGGCTGTGTGGAATAGTTAAGTGGTTACGGTTGCAAATTTTGTTATGCTGGCTGATTCTTTTTTGAAGGCCTGGAGGGAAAGCTCAAGGGAGAGGAGGAACTGGAACTGGTTTGAGGAAATCAGCTGGGATAGAAGCGGCACTGTGGAAGAAACCGAAGCATGGCAGACTTAATGAACATAGATGCAGCGATAGGTGAGAATAGTCGCCGGGGCTTTGGCTGGGTTGTCCGTGAGGAGACAGGGATTCGGGAAACACTCCGCTGCCTAAAGGAACTTCATTGGGACAACATTGATATAGAGTAGGATATGCTCCAGGTTGTCTCCGATATTCATTCCGATGGTGGATCTTCTTTTCTTGGCATAGCGAATCGTGTTAAAATTTTATTACTACGGATTTATTATGATTTTTAACATCATTAGTATTGATTTTATAAGACGGTATGTGAATCATGTTGAGCACGAGACGGTTAGTTTTTAGATGTATACTTGGCACATTCTTTCACACATTAATGTAAATAGTTGCAATAAGAAAAATGGGTGTTCATTTTAACATTAATAACAGTTTTGGGGTTTTCTTTGAATTTATAATTTAATAATTTCATACTACTATTGACTTTACAAATTTATTGCTTCCCTTTATTTTCAATAAAGGCTTAATAATTTGTATCCCTTTTTTTCATATTCTCAACTGGACTAATTAATTATTATGCACCAATATAAAAAATTGGTGATAGAAGAGGTTTGGTAGGAAAAAAATGATGAAGAAGAGGTGTGATGAGGAAGAAGCTACAATATTGTCAGTATTGTTGGATTGTCTCCCACCTGAACCGTCGCCATAGAGTGCAGGAGAGTAGGGCTTGGAAGCATATTTTTAATTTTACTATTTGATTGCGATTTATTTTTCATGATCAGACTGCTTATTTTTATGTTGATTACTTTTATTATTGTAAGACTCTTGCATTAGGATTGGGTGATGGGAGGTCTGATTTAACCATTTTTGGTTCATTTATGTCCATTATAGGGTCAACGAGTTATATTGCTTTTTTGAAGGTGATTTACTCTAAGTCTGGTTCGAGGGCTGGCGTCTGGCGGTTGTCTGTGATCCTTTTGTCGTTTAACTTATTATCTGAATGTTAATGCTGTCAATTTAACTTGCTATCAATTAAAGCCCCCTTCTTCCAAAAAATGTATATTTAAGTTTGAGCATTATTTTTTAATTTCATATTAGACATGACTTCTTATTTTAACTTTGTGTTTTCAATTAATTGATTCACTATCAACTTTTTTCTTACTTATATAATTCATCTAAATTCTTATGTAATTACTTCAGTCCCGTGCAACGCACGGGTAGGGTGACTAGTTAAATGAAAGGTAAAAAATTAAAGTCTTTTTATAGTGTGTACATAAGTGGGTACTAATGTGTGTACAAGAAGCTCTTCTCTAATACAAATGGCATGAGAAGCGAATATTGTGTGGTGGAGATTTGTGTAGATAAGAGATGTGTAAAAAATGTTGCGAATAAAAAATTCTTTGCCAAAAAAGAAAAGTAAAAGTTTGTTTTGGAATGTCGAAAAAAGAAAGTTGAAAATTTATTTAAAGACGGAGGGAATACTAGTATATGGTTACTGCACCATTAATGGTAAATTGGTAAAGGCAGTTGTAGCCAGTGGTGATATACAAAGATATGTTACCGAATTTTTTGATATACAAAAATTTCATTATATAGCCAAGGGGTGTATTAGTGTATTACTGTATTACTTCGTATCAAATATTCAAAACTTTTGATTTACAAAGTTACATATTGTTATTTTACCAAAACATCATTATATCGCATCTTGGTGTATAGAAATTGCGGTATGACAAAGATATGAGTATATCTTTTTCTAAAATTTCAAATTATCAAAATTTAAATATGCTATAAGTAATGGTTTTTTTTACAAGAATATTACTAAAATAGAGCTTATTTACATAAATATGACTATTCATTACTACAATGTAGTGTTGTGGTAACTAAAGTTCAAAACTTGAACATGAATTACTATGATTTCATTACTACTCTAGTAACTAATCATATTTTTGTAAACCATCTTTATTTTGGTCATATTTATGCAATTATTTCATAAGAAGTAATACTACGTATAACATTATAACATTCATTACGGGAATTCAGTGCAACAAATTATTATACTACGTATTCAAAATGAAATATATATACAAAGAGACAATAGACAAGAATAATCCCAACTATCAGTGATCTGCTTTAAATAGTTTAAAGTATCGATTATCCCAGAATAATTCCAACTATTAAATACAATTCTCAAAAACCTCTAGTGACTTATAATAACCGATAAATTACGTATATCATTTAAGGGTTAATATACTGACTGGAACATTTTGAGAATTTTATTCAATAGTTAGAATTATTTTGAGAGAATTAATAATTTGGATATTTAGGATATGTCACTAATAATGATGAAAAAAAGAACATGTCACTAATAGTTGTAGTTATTCTTGTCCACTTTTCATATACAAATTGGCCTTGTTAAGTTGTTAGTGATATACTAAAATCATTAAATAAAAACATTAACAAAATACTACTACGCATCCTAACAATAACATATATATATCCTCTTCATGCACTAACCCGGAGTCCCGGATTATTGTCAGGGACGGCCCAGGCCAGGGCCACCCAGCCCACTCGCGCAGGGCTTATAATTTTCGATGGCCCAAAAAATAGAACAGAGAAAGAACGGAAGAGAATCGTTGAAGCGAGAACTTCAAGCAACAAGCGAAGCGACAAAGGCGACTGACTCCATGATGCCTCTTTTGCCTCCTGCGTGCCACCGTGCCCCGCCTCAAAGACTAGGACTTCACGACCGAAGTGCCTCACGGCTCACGCAGTCACGCGACTTTGTGCCTATATCATACATCATGGTGTATGTACACCCGGTCCAACTAAGGAAGGCGGCCCAATAACTAATACTCCGTACATGCTAAAAAAATTGGTGACAGTTTTGTAATGTAAGCAAAAAATCACGGCTAATGAGCATGCATAACTTACGAAGTGCTCATTGATATGAAAATCGTAAGGTTTGTTAGTAGAACATCACGACATTTTAATTGAGCATCAAACCTCCGCTATTGAGATGAAAATCACAGTTTCTGGTGAATGAGCATTAATGAATTTTTAATGAGCATCAAACCTATTATGTTGAGTATTAGGAGTCTAATATTCAGAATCGTGATATGTGCTTCGTAACTTCTAATTCACTTTCTTTTTGTTATTTTTTCTTTTATAAAAACTTATTAAAGTATATTTATAATCAACTCCTATGAATTTTAATATGTGAATCTAATGTAAAATAGTACTTTTAAAAATTGCATTGATATGAAGTTTAGAAAATGAGCATAAGATGAGTACCAGATGAGCACACGTACGTACAAATGCGCATTGATATGAAAATCATAAGCTTTATTGGTTGAACATCACGACATTTTCATTGAGCATCAAACTTTCTCTATTGAGATCGATGGAAATCACGATTTCTGTTAAATGAGCATTAATGAATTTTTAATGAGCATCAGACCTGTACAAATGAGCATATGTAACTTACAAGATGAGCATGGATGTGAAAATTGTAAGTTTTGTTCAGTGAGCATCAAACCTTTGTTATTGAGTATTAGGATCGTGCGATTGAGTATCTTGATTTGTGGTCTCGTGTCTATAATCAGCTTCTATGTGAATCTAATGTAATATGAATTTTTGAAATATGCATTAACATAATTAACTTACAAAATGAGTTTTCAAAAAAATCAAAAGATCATTTGTGTATGTTCATTCTTTTTAGACGTTTTATTTATTTGAGTTTAAATAAAGTTCATTTCTAATGTGCTCTATGTTAATATATATAGAGAAAAAGAAAGAAGGAAACAACAAATAAAAGAAACGAAAAGAAGAAAAGAAAAAAGAAAAGAAAGTGAACCAACTAACAGTAAAAGTAACGAAAAAAACAAAATAAAAAAAACAAAACATAAAACATAAAAGGTAAAACGAACTAGCAGAGTAGCAGGAAAGACGAAAGAGGATGGCAGCGAAAGAAGCAAAAAAAGCATTATACGACTCTCTGAAGCAGAATCACTTGTAGATAGTATGCCTATGAAGCCAGACACTGTGATCTTGGATTCTCTCCTTGCTGCTTGTAGAAATAACAAGAACACAAATCTTGGCCAGAAAATTGCAGAGAGGCTATTTCGGATGGGTACGAAAAAATCCGGAGCATATGTGTTGCTATCAAACATATATGCTTCCCCAGGCATGTGGGAGGAAGTCGGTAACATACGAAGCACAATGCTGAAACGGGGAGTGAATAAAGAGCTAGGTTATAGCTGGATCTATATCAAAGGAAAACTGCATTCTTTCCTTGCAGGCAATAAGAGGATGATGGAAGAACAGTTCACAGAAGATTGTTTGAAATACGTGCTGAGTAGTATGTTTGAAATAAGTGTTAGGTGATTTTAGTGTCACCGGCCGTTTTGTGTAATTGGAAATGACATGAGTGCCAATGGGAATTAGAACTATGATCTAATACAAGTTAGTAGGTGTGGAGTGCACACTTGTATATAAGAACTAGTTTAGTTCCAAAGTGTCTACGCTAGTGGAACTCGAGGTAGAACTCGAGGTATAACTTTCAGTAGACCAGCTCTGTGGTTCTAGACCGAGTTCTAGAACGGTTAGGCAGTTTCCAGCAGTTTCCCAAAAAACTGATGCGGTTATTCTTAATCGTGTTACAACTGCCTAGGACGATGAATATGGATATATATCACCATATTTCGTACAGAGGAGGTAGAGGAAACATATCCAACATATCTTCATCACTTTGGCACTCAAATTAAAGATAACAATCCATATACTCGACTAGTTTGGCTCTAGTTCTTGTGCCTAAGTTCTAGAGTGTCCTTAAGGATTATCCTAGATTGAATTTCTTGTAACCCAGACATAGGGGAGAAATATCAATTCGGAAAGTGAACTTACATGATCCTTAAGCAATCCAAGTACTCAAATTATCACCCCCTACGTGATTACCCCAACAATCGAATTGATATTTCTTTTGTGATAATCATGAGTACCGTGGAAGAGATGACGTCCAAGTTCAACAAATTGGACAAGTTTCAAGGGAACGATTTCCGTAGATGGTAGAAGAAGATGCACTTTCTTCTCACCACGTTGAAGGTTGTGTACGTGTTGAGCACTCCAATGCCGGAAGTGATGGAGGATGAAACCTTGGAACAAACTAGGAGGCACAACAAGTGGGAGAACGATGACTACATATGTAGAGGCCACATCCTTAACGGTATGTCCGATGCGTTATTTGATATTTACCAAAACGTTGAGAGTGCTAAGGAATTGTGGAATTCTCTTGAGTCAAAATACATCGCCGAGGATGCTTCTAGTAAGAATTTCTTGGTGAGTGATTTTAATAATTATAAAATGGTTGACTCAAGACCGGTCATGGAACAATACAATGAACTCCTTCGTGTTCTTGGTCAATTTAAACTCCACAAGATAGGTGTTGATGAGTCCTATGCCGTGTCGAGTATAATTGACAAACTTCCACCCTCTTGGAAGGATTTTAAACGTTCTTTAAAACATCAAGATGAGGAACTGTCATTGGTTCAACTTGGGAGTCACTTGCGCATTGAGGAGTCTCTTCGTGTGCAAGAGAATGACCAAATTATGGTTGAAGTTGAATCTGGACAGCCTCATGTTCACTTGGTTGAGGATAATAAATCTAACCCGAAAGATAAGGGGAAAGGCAAAAGGCGCAAGTATGAATACCATGACAAACCCAACAAGAAACCGAAAGGTTTGATTTGTTGGAGGTGTCAAAAGGTTGGACATGTCAAGCGTGATTGCCGTGTGAAACTGAACAAGAATGGTGCTGGAACGAGTGGCAGTGGACAGGAACGGTCTAAGGACATGGTTCCACGGAAAGGAGGTCAGTTCCTGACTAACTTTGATAATTCTGTCCAGAATTATGTATCACTCATTCCAGAATCTTTTTATGTACAGGATGATGACTATGCATGGTGGATTGACTCGGGGGCTACGAGCCATGTGTGTAAGGATAAAGGATGGTTTGAAGACCTAGAACCAGTGGAGGTCGGTTCCTTATTACGCATGGGAGACGAGTCAATGGTGCCTATCTTGGGAAAGGGTGTAGTTGTTTTAGAATTTACTTATGGGAAAACAATTACGTTGTTTGATGTTTTGTATGTACCGAAGGTTTGAAAGAATCTTGTTTCGGGAAGTATGTTGAATAATTTAGGGTTCAAACAAGTGATTGAATCCGATAAATATATTCTGTCCAAGTGTGGTGTGTTTGTTGGTTTTGGATATTTATCAAATCGCATGTTTCGTTTAAATGTTGTGAATAAATTAATTCCTAGTGATAATTCTGTTTTTGTGGCATCTTCCATGAATGATTGTATGATTTGACATGCTAGATTAGCTCACGTAAATTTTAGAAAAATGCATGAAATGTCTAAAGTTGGTTTAATTCCTGCTTTTGATATTAATGATGATAAGTGTATGACTTGCCTGCTTACTAAGATCACAAAACAACCGTTTCCTAATGTTGAAAGGAATTCGGCTATTTTGGATCTTGTACATAGTGATCTATGTGACTTTCACTCAACTCCTTCCCTTGGCAATAAAAAGTATGTTGTTACATTTATTGATGATTCGACTCGGTTTTGTTATGTGTATTTATTACACACCAAGGATGAAGCTTTAGAGAAATTTAAAGTGTATAAAACCGAGGTTGAATTGCAATTGGGTAATCCAATTAAATGTCTTAGGACTGATCGGGGAGGAGAATATATGGATCCCCATTATTTTCAATCTGTTGGAATCATTCATGAGACCACGGCTCCGTATACACCACAACAAAATGGTGTGGCCGAACGGAAAAATCGAGTGTTAAAGGAAATGGTTAATTCCATGCTTTCCTACTCGGGTTTGAGTGAAGGGTTTTGGGGAGAGGCCATGCTCACGGCCTGCTATGTTCTAAATAGGGTTCCAAATAAAAGGAACAAGACAACCCCATATGAGCTTTGGTACAAGAAAGCGCCGAATTTGAAATATTTTCGGGTTTGGGGTTGTAGGGCGATTGTAAAATTGCCCGAGCCCAAAAGGAAAACTTTGGGGGAAAGGGGAATTGATTGCATATTCATAGGGTATGCTGAACATTCCAAGGCTTATAGGTTTTATGTAATAGAACCTAATGATGCGGTAGCGGTTAACACCGTGATTGAGTCTCGGGATGTGATCTTTGATGAGATGAGATTTTCATCAATTCAAAGACCAAAGGACCTAGTTCCAGGCACTAGTGAGGTGTAAGTTCCAGAATGTTTGGATGGTGTTTTGAATCCCGAAACACCACAAATAAGGAAAAGCAAACGAGGCCACATCGTGAAAGACTTTGGTCCCGATTTTCACTTGTATTTAGTGGAAGGTTCAAGGGATGAAACGGGGGTACAATATTCATATTGTTACCAAGTTGAGGATGATCCAAAGACCTTTAAAGAGGCAATGGAATCCCGAGATGTTGCCTTTTGGAAGGAGGCAATTGATGATGAAATGTCATCAATTATGGAGAACAACACTTGGGTGTTGTCGGATTTGCCACCGGGTTCTAAACCCTTAGGTTGCAAATGGATCTTCAAAAAGAAGATGAAAGTGGATGGAACTGTTGACAGGTTCAAGGCTCGGTTGGTCATTCAAGGTTTTAGACAAAAACCCGGAATTGACTATTTTGATACGTATGCGCCGGTTGCTCAAATTACAACCATGAGGTTGTTAATTGCTTTGGCGGCTATACACAATCTGATTATACATCATATGGATGTCAAGACGGCATTTTTAAATGGTGATCTTGATGAGGAAGTTTACATGAAACAACCGGAAGGTTTTGTTATGACGGGAAATGAGCATAAGGTTTGTAAACTTGTTAAATCATTGTATGGGCTGAAACAAGCACCCAAACAATGGCATCAAAAGTTTGATGAAGTTATTTTGTCCAATGGTTTTAGTTTAAACCAATCGGACAAATGTGTCTAGCCGATTTGATGCATTCGGAGCGGGTGTGATCATATGTCTCTATGTTGATGACATGCTGATTTTTGGAACGGACCAAAATCAGGTTGATGAAACCAAAATGTTGTTATCATCAAAGTTTTCCATGAAGGACATGGGGGAGGCGGATGTGATCCTTGGTATAAGGATTAAACGGGTAAACAAAGGGATTGCTTTGACTCAAGCTCACTATGTTGAGAATATTCTCAAAAGGTTTAATTATAGTGATTGTTCACCCGTTGGTACTCCCATGGATCCTAGTGTGAGGTTGATGTCTAATAAAGGAAAGGCAATATCACAACTTGAGTACTCTCAAGCTATTGGTAGTTTAATGTATGCCATGACAAGCACTCGGCTGGATATTGCTTTTGCCGTGGGTAGGTTGAGCCGGTTTACTAGTAATCCTAGTACTCAACATTGGCAAGCAATGAAGAGAGTATTCAAGTATTTGAAGGGAACCATGGATTATGGTTTGTTTTACTTTGAGTATCCTTCAGTATTAGAAGGATATTCGGATGCAAGTTGGATATCCAATGTGGAGGATCACTCTTCTACAAGTGGTTGGGTATTTTTGCTTGGGGGAGGTGCCATATCTTGGGCATCCAAGAACAAAACTTGTATCACAACTTCAACGATGGAATCTGAGTTTGTTGCGTTGGCTACCGCCGGTAAAGAGGCGGAGTGGTTAAGAAATTTAATTTTTGAGATTCCATTGTGGAGGAAGCCGATTGCACCTATATCTATCCATTGTGATAGTGCTGCCACTTTGGCTAAGGCATATAGTCATGTTTATAATGGCAAGTCTAGACACTTGGGTGTTAGACATAGTATGATTAGGGAACTAATCATGAATGGTGTAATTTCGGTGGAATTTGTAAGATCGCAACATAACTTGGCGGACCACTTGACCAAAAGTTTGGCCCGGGACTTAGTGCACAAGTCTGTTATAGGGATGGGTTTAAAGTCCATTTAATCCTTAATGGTGAGACACCCAATTCCCCTCTAATACAACGTTAAAGGCTGAATTCAATGCGGAAAGCTCACACTTAATGGATTGGAACACACAATGAAAATCATCCCAAGGTGTGTGTTCGGACCTGTAGTAGGGAGGCTGAATTTATTTCTTAATAATTCCTTTGATAAAGTGTAAGCAGGTACACGAGTAAAGGAATTACCTATATGATCGTGAAGTGTAGCCGCACTTCAAAAAGCTTGAGACTTGGCTTTTATACGGTCATGAATGGGATTAGGACACACGGCTTTATAATTGTGTCAAGTTTGTATTCTAGTTGAGTATTGAAACTTGTATGTATTTTATCTTGAGGTATTCAAATGGGTTGAAGGGTTCAATCCGTAGGACACCCTGATTCTCGAATATTTTGAATGTGTAAAATACTAAGATGGAAATTCAATCGTATCGACATTTCCATTTATGTGCAAGTTTTGGTTTGTAAGCTTTGTTATGTCATTTCATGGGTTACACTAAAATGGGGGAGGATTGTTGGTGATTTTAGTGTCACCGGCTGTTTTGTGTAATTGGAAATGACATGAGTGCCAATGGGAATTAGAACTATGATCTAATACAAGTTAGTAGGTGTGGAGTGCACACTTGTATATAAGAACTAGTTTAGTTCCAAA